GACCACCGCCGCGACCACCGCCGCGACCACCGCCGCGACCACCGCCGCGACCGCCGTCTCGGCCACCCCGTCCACGTCCAAAATCTCGCCCCCGACCGCGACCGCCGTCGCGCCCTCGACCGCCGCGTCCGCCTCGGCCGCCGCCGCGCTCGACCCGCGGCTCGTCGCTCTTATACTTGCTCGGATCGTACCCCGGGAACAACCGCCCCGCACACTTTCGATACGAAAAGTCCTCCACCGTGTTATCCACCCTAACGATCATGAAGCACCTCGAGCCGTGCGTGGGGTGATTTCGCACTTGAAACGACCGCAGACCCGCGCCAAACTTTTTCTCCGCCTCCGCGTGTCCCAGTCGCAGCAACGCCTCCGTGACGCTCTGTTCGTACTCGTTCATGTTCTGATCGAGCGTCAACTCGTTACGAAGCTTGCCGAAGTACTTCATCAGATCATCACCGGACGTGAACGTCTTCGGACCGAGCGTCACGGGCGCGGGCGTCGCGTCTGCGGGACTTTTTTGTTTCGAGGAATCATCCGCATCGGGCGGTGGCGGCGGTGCGTCCGTCGTTTGTACCGGTGGTGCGTCCGCCTCCGTCGCGGTCGCGGTCGCGGGGTCGGTGTGCGCGTCCACGGTGGCGTCGTCGGTGGACATGACGACGCGCGCGGCGAAACGACGCGGGCGCGGCGCGGTGCGCGCGTTGACTGACACTTTTGGAGCTCGCGCCGCGGCGACGGCGAGACGACGAGGGGCAATTCCGGTGAAGGAACGCGCGAGAGGGCGTGAGAGTTGGAACATCGTCGAGAGATGTATCGTCGTTTGTGTCTACAGGGATAAAGCGTCGATTTGACGGGGATACGATCGGGGTCAACTCGCGCGCTCGTCCGAGTATCCGGCGGCTCGGCCCGAGAGACCTCGAGCGGCTTCGAGCGGGGCGTCCGCGAGCTCGCCCGTTTCCTCATCGCGCTTCGGACCGGGTTCTAGCCCGACGTAAGTGCGTCTAGACATGAGGTACTCGGCGCCAGAGGTGACGACGGCGGCGGCGGCGCCGGAGGCGCGAAGCGCGAGCGCGTCCTCGGCTCTACGCGCGAGCTCGAGACCGTTGGGCGCATCCGTGTCTTCCTCCGTCATCGCGCGTGCGTGCTCGACGGGGTTTCTCACATCGAGAGAACCCGAGATCAGGCTAAATTCGGGCTCGCCGGCGTCGCCGTCATCGCCAGCGCTCGTGGACGCGTTGTCAGGTTTCGGCACGGACGCGAAATCGAGCTTGACCTCGCCCATCCACATTTTCCCGCTCGTAAACGCGATCGAGGCCTCATAGGGCGTGATGATGGGCTGTAGATATTCTCTTGAGTCCATGAGTGCGGTAAGCTCGCAGCTGACCATGATGTACACCTCGATCTCGGGGAAATTTGCGAGCTTTTGCGGATTTGGCTTTCCGGCGACGATAGTGTAACTCTTCCGTCCGCTGTTGGCGATCATCTTGCGCAAGTTAGCGATCATCTCGCGATACCCCGCGACGCCTAAAGTACCGGCGACGATGCCAACGACGTTGGCCTCTTTCGCCTTCGCTATCAAGAACCTTCTACGCTTGAGCGCTCGAGCGGCCTCGCTCGAGCCGTCCGCCTCGACGCGCACCTCGTCGTCCACCTCCGGATCGTACTGCGCCACGCCCCCGAACCTCTCCGCGCGTTCGCCTAAAACCAGCATCGCGTGCGTCATCGAAGGGCCCGCGCCGCCGATCCATACGAACGCGCACGCGTCCGTCGCCACGCCCGGCGGACGCTCGAAACTCGCCGAACCGACGCGTTCGCGTCCCTCATCCACAACCCGCGTCTCGATCGCCCCGTCCCGTCTCGGATCCACCTCCACCGTCGTCGACTCCGCGATGACGATCTCCACCCCGCTCGCCGCGTCACCGTCTCTCCTTAACTCTTCTCTCAACGCAGCCGTCGCGTGCGCGTACGCCTGGTCCGCGACCGCCACGACGCACCGCGGCGACGTCCCCGCGTCTCGTCCTCCCAGCGTACGCGCGTGCGCTCGCAGCGCCCGCGCGCACGTCTTCACGTCGATCGCTCGCTTATCGAAGACGAAACGCGCCGGGACGCGAGACGTCGGCGAGCAGCACGCGCGTCCGTAGTGCACCACAGCCTTCGCGCCTCGGTGCGACGCCGCGACCTCGTCGACGCAGCACGAGCCGAAGGTGGTGTCGGCCAAGACGCACAGCTCGGTCTCGCCCTCGAGGCGACGCGCGCGGACGGCGGCGTCGAGCGCGCGGACGAGGGACGCGGCGCGCGGGAGCGCGTCGTCCGGAAGCTGCAGGGCGACGCGATCAAAGTCGTGGGCGACGATCCAGCGCGCGACGTCGTCGACGTTCGGCATCGATGTCGACGTCGACGTCGGGTGGTGGATCGTCGGGCATCGCGTCGTGCGTGGGGTAATGAATGAGCGCCGGGTGCGTTACAGGAGACGGCTGGACGCCGTGGCGCGCGATGTTTCTCGTCTACGTCTACTATGCGATGAGTTCCTCGCGCACAGGCGCGGGCATGGATATTTGTGGAGCGTCTAAACATTGGGGCAGCTTTTCGGCGACGACTCGTAGGGCGAGGGTGACGGCGGAGACGAACGCGAACGGAAGGAACTGATGCGCTGGCACCTTTCCGCTGAGCCGCATCGTGGCGGCGAATATCGATCCGCACATCACGGGAGCGACGATACGGGCGAACGCCGCCATGGTTCCAGCGATTCCATTCACTCGAGCCTTGACGGCATCTTCGCACGAGTTGTTGACGACGATTGTGATGCTGACGAAACCGATGCCCAACGCGCAAATTTTCGTGCACTGCGATATGAGCGCCACGATCCACAGTGCGGTGTCGTTCGGCATGACGGATGCGAAAGGTGCGAGCATGCAAACGACCGCAAAGAGAGTCACGCCGAGCCTGAACGCGCGAACCGCGCCTAGCGCGTGGCAGATGCGTTTGTAAATTGTCAGCTGAAATATCAGCAGTGTGAATCCGCCGACGATTAACAGTGCTCCGATGTCTCGCGAGTTGAACTCGCACCCTCCCAACTCTCTAGTAGTTTTGAGAAATACCGGAAGCATTTCGTCGTATCCTATGGCGATCGCCGCGAGCGTGGCGTAGCACACCGCCGCTCGCATCGTGTTCGGAGTGAATAAGACTTCCTTCGGCGACGACTCAGCATCGCACGCGTCGTCGTCCCACTCTCCAACCTGTCGCATTTCTATATCTCGCAGCTCGCCCGCAGACGCGAGCTTCACTAATCGTTTCTCCTCCTCCTCGGTCTTAGCGTTCGTCTCCGCTTCTCGCCTCTTGACGAACGAAGCCGTCTCCGGTAAAAAGAACCATCCCAACACCGCGCCCAATCCCGTGAGCATCGCCGCCACGAGCATCGGGAGCAGGTATGGATACGTCTCAAAAATCGTCCCTCTCAACCGCTCCCATCGCTCAGCAGGCCTCGAGAGCCACCCACCCGCCACGGGCGCCAACGCGCTCGCCAAGCCGTATCCCAACGCCAGCACCCCAAAAGCTTCAGCCTGCGCCTGCTTCGTGCACGTCTCGCCGAGATATGTCTTCACGATCTGCGCGTTGGAGTTCACGCACCCCGACAAAAACCTACCGACGAACGCCTGAGAAATCGTCTTCGCCGTGCCGAAGACGAAGACGCTCGCCGTGCTCGCCGCGCATCCCGCGATCAAAGCCGGTCGTCGCCCCCGCGCGTCCGCGACTTTCCCCCACACATAAGACGTACACAAAGCTCCGAGCGGCGACGCGGCGCCGATGACGCCGACGTACAGACCGACGTCGCGCTCGACCACCCCTCTGGCGTCTCGCACTAAGAAGGGTAACATGGGCCAGACGACGTTCAGGTGGAACGCGTCGACGACGTTGAGCAAAACTAAGAGACACAGAAATAGTTTTGAGTGCGCGTCCTGAGGCGCGAGCGGATCGAGACGGCGGAGCATGGTCGATGGAGCCCGCGGCGACGCGCGCCGGGGTCTGCGGGCGCGTCGGTTTCGACGACGCACCGTCCATCGCGACATCGCCCGCGCGTCCACCGAGAGCGATCAAATCGTTTTCATTTCGTCTATTACACAGGTCAACACCCCGCGCGGCGATCGCGCGCGCGCGTCGCGTCGTGAATCGTCTCGCGCGCCGCCCGGTGCCAGCAATTCGTCGTCTCTCACAGTCGTCCGTGCCACACGCACTCACGCCACGCCGCCGTCGTCGGTCGACGTTGCAATATCTCCAGCACCACCTTTGGCGGGTCCAAACCGAGACTCGCCGCGCGATCCCACCGCTCCACGCGCGTTAATCCCACGCACGGTCCGAACGCGCTCGTGAGATCAAACGTCTTGAGCGCGCGCGCGTCTCGCTCCACCGACGCGTCCCACGCGTCGTCGTCCCCTTCGCGCGCGCCGTCCGACGCAACGCGCTGACGCGGCTTCTTCCTCGACCCTATTCGCGCGACGACCGGGCGCACGTCAGTCCACGCGCGCCGTCGAATTCGTGTCGGAATTCTCTCGAGCGTCATCATTCGCGTCGTCATCGCCCCCGCGCGCGCCGCACCTCTCGCGCCCGGCTTCCGCGCTTCGAAGCCGGTGAAGGTCGCGATCGCGCCCGTCGTCTTCGATCGGGGCGCCATGCTCGAGTGCGTCGGTCGCGTCGACGTGTCACGCGTGCGTCGAACGCAATCGCGTGGAAAACGCGTGAAATTGAATCGTCATCAATCATTCCGACGTCACCGCGCGACGGACGGCGCCGCGATGCTCCGTCAGCGCTCGCAAACGTCGAGCGGTGAACTCCGGGACGTGCGCGTCGTGAACGACGGCGCGACGACGTCGCCGGCGCGCGCGGCGTTGAACAAAGAAGCGACGCCGACGAACGGGACCGCGTCGCCGCGAAGCCTCGGGAAGGGTCAATCGTCGCTGGATGACGCCGAGAGCGTGGACGAGGAGGAGGAGGAGGAATGGTACGTCGTCGCTCGCGATGGGTTGTTTCGAAGGTGGAACCTGGCGCTGGGGGTGATTCTCGTGGCGCTCACCGCGTGGTTCGCGAGCAAAGACGTGGGCGGAAAGTCGACGTGGAAGTACACCGGTTTGACGGCGTGTGCGTTGCTCGGACGATCGACCTCGAGGTGGTTCGTGATGCTCGTCGTGTACGTGCTGGAGAATATGCTGCCGTTGGATAAGGTTGCGTATTATTTCGACGCGCTGTCGCCGGCGCTGACAACTTTTTTGTGGTACGCCGGCGTGGCGGTGATGTGGGGATTCTTTTTCGCGGCGGAGATTCACGGCGAGACGTACACGAGCGCTATTAAGGTGTTGGCTTTGTTTGGTTTGTGGTTGTTATCGCGTTGCGTGGCGTTGCTGATCGTGAAAATGTTGACGGCGAACCTGCACGCTGGGACGTTTTGGACGCAGTTGAAGACGACGGTGCGGCACGAGGTGATGTTGAGGAATCTCACTGGAGCGCCGACGCGTCCAAGGCCGTCGGCGAAGAACCAAAAGTCTATCAAGACCGCGATGAAGCGTTCGTCGTCGTTTAGCAAGGGGAAACCCCGTTCGAAGTCGCCGCCAGGTTCCATCGGCGACCCTCAAGTTGAGGCAGTGAAGGAACACGCGAGGACAGAATCGGGGGCATCCGACTCATTCGCGAATGAGCAAGAGCTCAAGGCCATTCATGCGAACCTCAGCGAAGGCATTACGTCGGCGTTCGGAAGCCAGACGGAGAGCGACGAGGGCGTGCCGAAGTGGGATAGTGAACAGAAGAATCAAAACATGTTCCGAATGGCGGAAGATCAAGCCAAGGCGTTGGCGACGCAAGCCATGGCGGTGATGGGCGCCAGGAGCGTCCGTTCGAAGGCATCCGATGCTAAAGATTTTTCCCTGTTCAACTCACTTTCTTTGATGAAGCCCGTGAAAAAGGACACGTATATGACGCACTACGTCAGCGCGGAGCGAGTGATGGAGCGAGCGAAGATGACGCTGGGAATGGGTGAGACAACTTCTGAGACTGATGTCGAAATGCGGAGAGCTTCCAAACTCATCTTTAACCATATACGCCGACCCGGTGAGAAGTTTATCACGAAAGAAGCCGTCAGCGACTTTTTGCCGTCCAGAGACGTGGACGAGGCGATGTGTCTGTTGAGCGGTCAAGAAAATTTTACGTTTGCCGCCGTCGGATTCCAAGATCTCTGCCGAGGCATCCGTAGAATGTTCGACGAGCGCCTGTTACTCGGACAAACGCTTCAATCAATGCAGGGCTTGGCTGAAACGCTCGGTCGTTCGCTACAGGCGATTTTCTTCGCAATCGTCTTCGTTATTGGTCTCTTCTTGTTCAACGTCGACGTCGGCTCGTTGTGGATCCTCTTTTCTTCCTCGGTTCTTGCCTTGACGTTCATTTTCGGCTCGAGCGCCAGTCGAGCTTTCGAGGCCGCTATGATGATTTTCACCGTTCACCCGTTCAACATCGGTGACTGGATCGTCGTCAATCAAAATAACTTCAAGGTTTTGTCGATTGGCATCAACTCGACAAAGTTGTGCGACCTCATGGGAGAAATCGTGTATATGCCCACAGCACAGCTCGCGAATCAGCCAATCGTGAATCTCTCGCGCTCGGGTGAGCTTTGGATGAAGGTCGGGTTGCTCGTGGACATCGGCATTACCCAGTCGCAGTGCACGCACCTTCAAAATATTGTCTTGAAGTTCATTTCGAGCGACAAGCGCAACTACGCCGGTCCATGCCACGTTGCCTTGCGGAACTTTGCCGAGGAACGACTCAAGGTGGAGCTGAATGTGCTCTACCCGCTCGCATTTAACGGTTCCGAACGATTACGCATGATCGAGTCGCACAGTCGAATGATCAGTGTCGTTCAGAGCGCGTTAATAGACATGGGCGTGACGTTCACCGGCACCGACGGAATGATTTTCTGCCATAACCCAGAGACGCTGGAAACCGCGCTCGAGGGCTTACACGTTGCCGCGGGCGTTCCAGTCGCCGGTACCGCGCCAAGCATCCAGGGAGCTACCGCCAACGTGGGCGTCATCCCCACTCGCGCGCCCGCGCCGAGGAACGTAGACGACCCGTTCGGCCGATATCCGCCCCACACCTCCTACTGGCGAAGCGGCTCGATGCAGCAACCGTACGCCATGAACTCGTCGCTCCGCCACCTCTCCGGCATGCTGAAGATGGACTAATCATCAGCTACGTCTCGTCGCCTTCACGGGCGCGTGTTTCAATCAATAGTCCCCCTAATATCACCCGTCCGAATCGCTCGTCCGCGCTCGATTCGTTACACTCGCCCCCAGCGCTCGAGCTGATTATTCGATCCTCCCCGACGTTCGCGCCCGACGCCGCACTTCGCGCCTCTCGCGGACGTCGACGCGCGACGAGCATGATCGCACACGCCTCGACCGTCTCTCGCGTCGCGCGCGCCCCTCGCGCGCGCGCCGAGCGTCGCCAACGCACCGTCGTCGTTCCGAGCGCGACGGATAAGACCTCGTCGCGCATCGTCGCGTCCTCGGTCGCCCTGTCCACGCTCGTCGCCGCGAACGCGGCGGGCGCGAGCGAGATCGCGCAGACGGCGGAGGGTGCGGGCGTCGCGGTCGCGGGCGCGCTCGCGATCGCGGGCGCGGGCGCGGCGCTGGTGATGACAGATCCGAGCAAGCGAAGAGCGTCGATGATGTCGGAGACGGGGGGCGACGAGGCGGCGAGCGTGAAGAATTACTTCGATACCACCGGATTCGAGCGGTGGAATAAGATTTATGGCGAGACGGAGGACGTGAACAAGGTGCAGTTGGACATTCGTAACGGACACCAGCAGACGGTTGATAAGGTGTTGGACTGGGTGAAGGATGACGACATGAGCGGCGTGACGGTGTGCGACGCCGGATGCGGTACGGGGTCGTTGGCCATCCCGCTCGCGCTCAAGGGGGCGACCGTGAGCGCGAGCGATATCTCTAGCTCCATGGTTGGCGAGGCAGAGCGTCGGTACAACGAGTTGGTGTCCAAGGGCGCGTCGGCGCCGGCGACTGCGCCCAAGTTCGAGGCGATGGGTCTCGAAGACGCCTCCGGTCGATACGACCTGGTGACGTGCATCGACGTCATGATTCACTACCCGAAGGATCGCGTCGACGGCATGATCAACCACTTGGCGAGCCTGAGTGGGAAGAAGCTCATCATCTCCTTCGCTCCGCAGACTTTGGCGTACCTTATCCTCAAACGCGTCGGCGAGTTGTTCCCGGGTCCGTCGAAGGCGACTCGCGCGTACCTCCACGACGAAGCCGACGTTGAAGCCGCGCTTCAAGCCGCTGGCTTCCGCGTCAAACGCCGTGAGATGACCGCGACGTCTTTCTATTACTCTCGACTTCTGGAGTGCGAGCGCATTTGAAAGGTTGGAGACAAATGGAACAATTTTTAATTTAACGATTCGTTCGCCCCATGCTATCTTCTCTAGCGCAGCGCCCTCATTCGCGCGGTCTAATAATGAATATGTTCGGGTGCATGCCCAGACAACCCGTGATCTGCGCCGCAAGGCTCGAAAAGCGATGCAAGAACACGAACAAAGCGGTGCCGATGAGAACGCCGCTCGTGAAAGCGTCGCCTGCGGGTACGACCGTCGTACACGCCATGATGAAAAGAGCGAACCAGTTCGTAACCGGAAAATCCGGATCGGACACGCGAATACTCATTATTCGAATCTCAGACTCACCGAACAAGATTGAACTCGTCGCGTGCGCGAAAGCGAAATTTTGTGACTTGTACAGGCAAAGCCCGTGGAACGCCTCCACGAGCGCGCAGCGCGCCGCGATCTTGAACGGACTCCTGTAACTTGGCCAGTGCGGGGGTTCATGTTTATCGCTCGCTAATATGGTCTTGATGAACGTCCCTACTCGGGCAATCGTCCCGACGGTGATGCAAAACACGGCACCCACGCGTCCGATGGTTTGCGCCCCGACGTACGGCAAAGACAGCGTCACGTCGAATAAGAAGCGATTCCCGATCGTCGCCGCGACGAGCATCAGTGTCTGTACGATGAGCTGGACGTCCTGAGAGTCCAAGAATTTACTCACCGGCAACACACCCGAGAAGGTGGACGACACGGTGTCCACGACGAAGAGCGCACGCCCTAACATCATCGTCGACACGCACGCCGCTCGCGCTCTGCTCGTCGCGTGCCCGACGCCAAATATATCGAGCACGACGAGCGGGTAGAAGCACATCGACAACCCGTCGCACGCGTGATCGATCACCTCACCCAAAGGCGATCCCGATTTCGTCCGTCTCGCCTGCTTCCCATCCATACCGTCCATCATCTGATAGGCAAACGCCAACCCAGCGCACGCGACGTACACCCACCTCGAGGCCTCGAACTCCAACGCCGGCGACATAGTCCACATCATCACGTACGCCGCGACGACGCAACACAATCCGAGCGCGGTCATCGCGTTCGGCGCCAACCACGTCGGAAACGCCTCCACCCCCAGACTCCACCATCGATCTAAAAACAACCGCTCACACAGCGACAGATTCGGCGACGTGTACGCGTACGCGCGCACCTGCGCGCACCGTCTCTTCGAAGCTCCGACGTGCGATCCGCGCGCGCGATGCGAGCACGCAGCGTCGACCGAGGCGTCGAAACCACCCGTCAAGAGGTCGAGTCTCGCTCGTCGAAACGCATCCATCGTCGACGATCACGGACGCGCGCGCCGTCGACGCGGGCGCGAACACGGAGCGCGCTCGAACGCGCGCGCACGCACCGCTCGCCCACGTCCGCGGGCGTCGCGCGGTGCGGACGTCGCGCGCACCGCGCGAATGAGGCACCGAGAGGTTGTCCAGCTGTCAAAGTTCAAAAATCACTCCACTGGAACTCTCCACACGCCGACGCGCGACGCGCGAGGGCGCGACGTCGCCGTCATGGGCGAGACGAAGGCGGATGGGAAGCGCGTCAAGACGTTCGCGCACTTTCCGGGCATCGCCGGCGCGTTCGTACGAGTCACGATGCATAATTTTATGTGTCACTCCAACTGCGAGGTCGAGCTCGGACCGCGGATTAATTACATCACGGGCGAGAACGGAAGCGGGAAGAGCGCGATTCTCACCGCGTTATCCGTCGCGTTGGGGGCGAAGATGCGCTCGGTCGGGCGGTCGAGCTCGAAGAGCTTTAACGGAATGATCAAGAGCGGGTCGACGCAGGCGAAGATCACGGTTGTGATTTCAAACGACGGCCCGGACGCGTTTAAGCCGGAATCGTACGGGAAGGCGATCGTGGTGGAGAAGACACTGAATGGAGCGGGCGCGAATGTGCTGCGGTTGAAGAGCGCGCGAGGGGATATCGTGGGGACTAAGATGGAGGAGTTGCACAAACTGACGGATCACTTTTGCGTCGACGTGGATAATCCGATCACGGTGATGACGCAGGACATGGCGAAGAAATTTTTGCACAGCGGCGACGACACGAAGAAGTATCAGTTTTTCGTGCAGGCGACGTTGTTGGAGAGTTTGCAGCAACAACAGACGATGGCGAAGAATAATCTGAAGGATGCGAGGGAGACACTTCAGGAGCACTTGGAGTCCATTCCGCGCGTGAGGAGCGAAGTTGAAGAGCTCGAGCACGAACTGAACACGTTCGAGCGCATCAGAGAGCTTCGGGAGAAGGCGACGAATATAACGGCCCGAATCGCCTGGTCCAAGGTGTACGATAAGGAGATGGAGATCAAAGAAACGGAAGATAAAGTGAAGAAAAACCAGGCACTCGTGCGCGAGGCGACTGAAAAGCTTGCTGAGATTGAACAGCAAAAAGAGGCCTCGAGCGGCGAGAATGAGGCGCTCGCCGCTGAATACGCCGAGTTCGAGAAGCAACTTCAAGATCTCCAAAAACAGCGTCATCAAGTTGAGATGGACTACAGAGAAGCGGGAAGACGCTTGCAATCGGCGGATACTGACAAACTCACCGAAGAAACGAGCTTGAAAAAGTTGACGAAGAAGATCTCAGATGTGGAGTCGAAGATTCAGCGAACCCTGGACGCACAACGAGGTGAGCGCACCGAGACGGATAGACGACTGCAGGTTCTGAACGACACGCTCATCGCCGCCAAGCAAGCGGTGACGCAGTGCAACGGCGACATTGAAGGATACAAGCACGCATTGGATGAGAAGGAAAGAGCGCAGCGCAATTTTTTCGGCATGAAGAAGTCGACGGAGAATGACATTAACGAGATCAGAAAGCAAGTTTCCACGTTGAAACAGACGTCTACCAACAGACTCGTTCTCTACGGACAACACATACCCAGGCTATGCGACGCCCTGCAGCAGCGCCAAGGTGAATTTTCATTGCCGCCCATCGGACCAATCGGCGCGCACGTCACGCTCAAGGATCAGAAGTGGATCGCGCCCGTTGAGGAGTCCCTCGGTGCTGGTATAGGCACATTTTTGGTCGCCAGCTCTCACGACATGGACAAGTTGCGCAAATTGAGCAGAGAGTGCGGCGTCAACAATCTGAGCATTGCCCTCGTCAACTTCAACAGAGGACGTTACGAAATCCCAGCGGAGAGAGTGCCTAATAAGGATGAATTCACGACTGTTGCGAGTGTTCTTGATTTCAAACACGATGCAGTGTTCAACTTTCTGGTTGATAGCGCGGCGATTGAGAGAACTGTGCTCATGACGGATGAGAACGCGGCGCAGAGCATGTTTCGTTCCGGAGCCGCGAGGGCCAAGCAAGTCGCGAATGTCTTCACTCAAAACCGCAAGGTGTTCATGAGCGGTAAGACCGTCCGAAACGAAGCGTTCCGAAACATGGATAGAGCTCGCCGATTGGGAGCCGACCCCAAGGCACAAATTGTGGAATTGCAAAAGGCCATCACGCAGAAGCAAGCTACCGCGCGAGAGTACAGCAACGACGAAGTGAGCGCCATGAAGGCTGTGAAAGAGATCAGGGACATGCTGAAGAAGAAAGAAGCCGAATACAGCAAGCTCGAACAAAAGGTTCTCGCAGCGACAAACCAGTTGCAGCAGGCAAAACTTGAGGCCGAGGATACAAACGACACCGGTGTCGACGTGAGCACGCTCCAAGAGGAGCTCGACAACTTGAACGCGGAAGCGTCCAAGCATCGAACCGCGCTGAGCGAAGCCGAAACGAATTACACTCGGATGAAAGAAACGTATGATGTCGCCAAGAGCGCAGTCGATGAAACGGTTTCCCTCGCAGATGCGTACAAGAGTAAAGCACAGCACCACGCGAAGAAGATGCAAACGCTGGAGGCTAAACTGCAGAAAGTGGACAAGTTGATCGCAACGTGCAAGAAAGATATCGAATGTGGCACATTAGTCGTTCAGCACGACGAGGAGCAGATCAAATTACTGACTGTGACGTGCGAAGAGATGGCCGATAGGTTTACTAAAAATTTCTGTGATCGAGAAATCGCGGAGGAAGCGGGTGACATCACCATGGGTGAGGAGGCCCTGTTGCGCATGCTTGAATCGACAAAGACTATCATGAAAAAGGAAGAGAGTCGCCACAAACGACCGTACGAAGAAGTGAGCGATGAACTATCTGAAAAGCGACGAAAACTGATGAAACTTGAGAGAGGCACCGAGACGTCTGAGAAGATCATCAACAAGCTAAGGAAGGGATTGAAGAAGCGCAAGGCCGCCGTGCAGGAGAAGGCAACAGAAACCGCAAAAAATGTCTCGCACAGGTTCAACTGGCATATGCAGCGCAAGGGCCACGCGGGCCAGATCAATGTCGACTACTCAACTATGAAGCTGACTATCAAGGTCACGGACAGTGCAAAGACAAAGGCTATCACGGACACTCGCGCGATGAGCGGTGGCGAGCGCTCATATTCGACGCTCGCATTCAACCTCGCGCTTGGTGATGAATCGGACTCTCCGTTCCGCGCGATGGATGAATTCGACGTGTTCATGGATGCAGTGAACCGTCGCATCTCCATCGAGACGCTTTTGGATTTCGCCCGAAACACGCACTTTGACAAGCAGTTTTTGTTCATAACGCCGCAGGACATTAGCGCCGTCGATGCGCAAGCCGATGACATCAAAATTCAGAGGATGCGCGCCGCTCGACCGGCTTAATCGAAAAGATGCGCTTGTGATTTTACTCTAGGAAACTACACTACGACACGGAAGCGCGCCGACGCGTATCCTCAATCCAACTTTTTCTCGTCTTCGCTCTCGTCGTCCCCCTGCTCGAACGCCAGCCCGTCCTCGGCCTGGACGTCCGGCGCGTTCGGTGTGCGCACGAATCTCCAGTATCTGAGCAAGCCCCGTACGCTCATCCACAGTTTAAACGCCATGAAGGCGAAGAGAAGGCCAAAGAGGCATTCCTCGGCCTTAACGCTCATGTAATCGCCCTCGGTCGGGTGCGTAGGCGTACGCACGCGATCACCGCGAACGCGGACGGACGAAGACGAGGACGAGGCGCCACCTGTGCGCGACATGGCGAAATATCTCGCGCGCGGCGGAGTACGGGTTCGAGCGCGGGAGAGAGACGGTTGGCTCGTGTGCGAGAGCGAGACGACACGAGTCGACATGAGACGACGAGACGACGGAAATGACGATGTATTCGTTCGCACATTATCGGTACGCGTGGTTTTTACATTTGCTGATTCTCGACGATCAGGCCTCGGTACGCGTCGATATTTTCGTGCGTGAGTTTCACGAGCTGGCGGCGCTTGAGTGGTTGCTTCGTGAACGGGCATACGTCCGGAGCCTCAGCGCGACGAAGGATCGTGCACCAGGTCTCGTAACCGGCCACGTGACCGTAAGGAGAAATAGTCGGCTCCTCGATCGGAAGACGAGTGATGGGATCGATGAATCCTGGCAGCACGGGGAGCTGCTCAAACTCGTCGTCGTCAAAGTCACTACCGCCATCCGTATAAGTTTTCTTCGCCGACCGACCGCTTCGGCGCACGCTGTCGGGTTTAAGGCTGCACTGGAAGGCCTTGTCATCGTCGCTCTTCTTCTTCGGCTTTGCTTTCGGCTTGGGCTTGGCCGGCGCCTTGGGCTTCTTCACCTTGATTACCTTTTTCACCATCACCATATGCGGTTCGCCCTCCACACGCTCTGGGCGATCGAAGCCCTTAGTTTTGAAGTTGAAGCGGAGATCTCCGGTCACCGGGTCGATCATGTAATTTTCATCATGAATGATTCCATTTTTGACGAGGGACCTGTAGTAGTTGGAGCACTGGTAACCGACGCGGCCCGGGATGCTCTTAGAAAATGTACCCCACTCATAGTTGGCCTTGCCATCCGGAAGCGAGGCGATGATAGCCATGAACTGCGCGTGCTCGGCATCTGACCACTTTCCGTTAGATTGCGCCTCGCCCGGGGCATTAAAACGGTAATAGTATTGATTCTCGTTCTTTTCGCGATTCTTCCAGGCCTTGATGCGAGCCTCGGACCAACCCTCGTACGGGTCCACCTCTGCCTCGGCGCCTTCCACCACTTCCGCTCGCGCGATGGCGTCTTCCGCCGCCTCCGCCTGCGCGATAGCGTCATCGAGACGCAGGCGTTTCACGTTGACGTTCTTTTTCGAGTGACGAACGAACTGCACACCCAAACGTTCCTCCAAGACGTACTCTGTCTCGAAAAATTGCTCTGGCGCTTCACCGTCGCTGTCATCTTCACCGCCGATCGACGATCGACGCTTACGCAATCGTTCCATGCGCTGTTTGAACCTTTCGCTCGACACGTGCGCAGCCTTGGAGCTCTGCGCTCGTCGCTTCAGAGCGTCTTCCTCCTGAATCATGAAGCGCACCGACATTAAAAACGCCTCCCCGTCCTCCGCCTCGCTCAGCCTATCGTTCGCCTCAAATTCGTTCCCGTTGCACACCCGGAGCACCATCTCGGCCTCACGCTCCGTGAGATCGGCGTTGGACACCATGAGTTCCTCCACCTTCTCCTTGGTCGTCTTTTCCTCAAACTTTTTAAATCGGTTCTGCAGCGCCGCCACGCGCTCGGCGATGACCCGTCGCTGCTCCTCCGTCAGCCCGTCATCGTCGTCCATCATCCACGTCGGCGTCTCCGCCTTCACCACCGACGCGTCTCCATCCGCACTGTTCGCGATCGCCATGTCGTTCTCGCTCATCGCTCCCCCACCACCGTCGCGCGCGCCACCACCGAGCGATGACGTTTGAATTTTTTCAAATTTCAAAACCACCGTCCGCGCGCGATCGCGCTCGTCACCCGCGTCTCCCGCGCACGTCTCCGCGCCCCCGTCCGTCGAACCGTCGCGCGCGCGCGTGCGTGCGCGTCCGTCGTCCGCGCGCGTGACGCGGCGTCGCGGTGCGTCGCCGTCGACGCGACGTCGGGCGCGCGGCGAGGCGACGGCGGTCCAAAACACCCGCGTGTGCGGGGGTCGACCACGCGATGGGGCCGTTTAAACGCGCGCGCACCTCCGAGCGCGCGCGCGCGACGCCGTCGACGCGACCGACGGCGCGGACGACGTCGAGGGAGATGTCCGTCCCGCCCTCGCTCGTCGTCGAGCGCGGTGAAGCGTTGTTTGCGAATTGCGTCTTCGCGTTGGATGACGTTCGAGGCGCGATGGCGACGAGCGCGCTGGCGGAGTGTGAGAAGCTCATCGCGCATCACGGTGGTTCGACGCTCATGGAGGGGGAGCGGAACGGTGCGACGCACGCGTTGGCGTCGCGGGCGAGCGATCGGGAGACGTGGGACGAGGACGTGACCGTGGCGCATCCGGAGTGGTTGCTCGCGTGCGCGAGAGAGCGTAAAAGGCTCGATGTGTCGTCAAATGTCTTGTTTCGACCGCCGAAGACGATGGATGGGTTGCCGGAGATGAAGTCGTGCGTTGTGTCGCTCACGGGGTACGCGGGAGGGCGACGGAGAGACGTGGAGACGATGACGCGCGTGCTCGGCGCCAAGTTTCAAAAGGCGTTCGATCGCTCGGTGACGCACTTGGTGTGCTACGAACACTCGGGGGCTAAGTTTGAGAAGGCGAAAGAGTTCGGGAGTGCGCACATTGTGAATCACGTGTGGTTAGAGGATTGTATCTCGAGGTGGCAGCGCTTGGGGGAGTCGGCATACTCGCGGAGCGGCAAGGAGGAGGACGAGTTGGCGGCGCAGCGCGTGCCGGATAGCGAAGACGAGGGCGACTTGGTGATCGGACAGACGTCGGTGGTTCCCGACAGCGTCGTCGAGGGCGGTTCGCACGAAGGCAAGTGCAAGTCGACGAGCGACGCGATCACGGTGTTGCCGAACGTTTCCCAAGGCGCAGCGCCGTCCACGGGCACGAAGAAAACGCCGTCGACGAAGAATAGAGGAGCGAGTCAATCGAAATCGCACAGCGCGATTAAGCGAATGAATCGCTCTCCAGACTGGGAGGAACAGGTTAGACGAGGGGTGAATGTCACCACGAGCGTGCGTAATCGACTCGACCCGAGTTTGCGAAGAGCGCTGCAAGATGGCTCGACGCAACCAGACTCAACGTTCACCGGCATCGTCGGAAGCCCGAACGACGTCGAAAACGCGCTCGGTGGGAGGTTCGCTCCTTCGAACTCGTGGTTCGCCTTCGCAGACGACGCGGATAACGAGCCATTGACGGATATGGCCACCTTGGATGACTTCTACAATCTCGTGGCGCGCGGTCGACGCAGTTTTGGCGGAGACAACACGGACGAGAAACTTTACCAGATCGAACAAGGAGAGTTGCGGTTTGAGGTTTTTGAAAACGGCATATCCGAGGCTCTGGAGGAAGATTTAATCAAGGAGGAAAGTCCGATGATCGTCCAAACGCTATACAGTGGTACTGTCGTGATTGTGCACAAACGTTACGCCAACTGCTGCGACGAAGTGATGAGACTCGTCGACGCGTTGGAGCTTCAGCAGCGACAAGGTCCGATCGGTAAGTGGATCCAGGCCATGTTACGAGTCGAGACTGCGAAGCAACTGAACGGGGTCGGAGAAGACGGTCGACTCAAGCCAGGTTCAAACGCGCTCATGAAGACGTTCAAAATGTACTTGCAACTCCAACACCAGATGAACGATACCGACCAGGCGCAGCTATTCAACGAAAATGGAGCGCTCGCTCCGGCTGATAAAATTATCACACTTCCCGCTCGTGCGCCAGGGAACATCCGAGGCATCATACTCCAAGAGGTTCAGCGACCACTGCGCGACATTCTCGCCGGTTTTTATGAACTTCTCGCTGGACCGACGGAGCCCGATCCTACGCAACAGCCTTTGGCGAGTCAACAGTTCTTATCTCAGATGGAAATGGAAGAGGAGGAGGGGGGAGCAATGCCAGAGCTAGCGGAAGACGAAGAGATTCACGAGCCTCCGGTGATATCTGAAGAAGTGGCTGGCGATCCGGAAACTGCTGAGGAAGCACCAGCCGCCGCGCCGTCGCAGCACGAGACTCCGGCGGCGATCTTGCGAAAGAGCTCGCGTTACGTGCCATCGAACCCATCCACATCGAAGAAGAAGACAAAGTCGACGCCCAAGTCAGCTGCCACGCCCAAGGGAACCGTGACCAAGGTGAAAACACCAAAACACGACGAGAACGTCAATACTACTCACCGCAAGGCGTACATCACGCTGAGCGGTTTCAGCTCCGCCGGCATCAAAAAGTACTCTGCCGTAGTGAGAAAAATCGGGGGTATCCTTTGTACCGGACACGAGTGGGAACCGTCGACCACGCACGTTGTGTTTGGCGAGCGTGGGAGTCGGTCAATCAAATTCCTAGCCGGTGCCGTTGCGGGAGCCTCTTTACTCGATGTTTCTTACCTGGATGCGTGTGCAGCAGCAGGAAAAGTGTTGTCCGTGACGACGGAACATCTCTGGCGCGGAGGTCGCGGGGCTGAGATGGGAGTCATTAGCGCCCATGCTGCCGAGCGATGGTCCAAGGTGCCGGGTTCAACTGCTTTCTCTGGACTCTCCGTCGCCATCGTACCATTCGCCGCGCACGCGAGAATCGAGCAGAAGATGCTGGATACTGTGTTGCGCGCGGGCGGCGCTTCAATATCGATCGTTTCTCCAAAGGGTGACGTCTGTTTGACCCAGGCAGAGGTGCCAGACATCGTCGTGTCGGGCCAAGTGGAAGACACCGACTCGCCCAAGGATGTGCCGCGACTCGAAGCCCTGCTCGAGGGTGGAGTCGATAGCGATGTCGTCGTGGTATCTTCTGAATTTTTCAAGGCGTGGATATCCACTCCCGAAGCCGCGTTAGACGAGTACTGCATGTTCGGTACGTCGCTTAAACGAGCTTGTGTTGAGAACGCCTTGGCAAAGCGCGGCGAAACGATCAAACAGACCGCCGCGCCGCCATCAAAGAACGCTCGCACGCCTGCTTCGAAACCAAAAGCGACGGGCAAATCAAAAAACGCACTGACAACGATTCCAGTGCCGAGTCAGCAACGCCAGACGAGAGCTAAACGCGCCGCAGATGCGCCGTTGGCAACACGCGTCCGCTCGAAGCGTCGCGTCCCACTTGCGGACGCATCAAACACTTAGACGAGGCGAACTTTGTACGGGATTCTTTAGTTGAGCGCGATGGACACATGTAAGACGTCATTATTATTCGTGCTGCATACTTTTTTACACACAGAGTAAGCGTGGTGGTACAACACGTGTTTACTGCAGAACCATACGCTCTTAGCGTAAACTCATCTCCCGCGACTAAACGAGACTAAACGAATTCGTGCTAATTGGCGTTATGAACTTAGTAGAAGCCGAAGCCCTTGGCCGCGTTGGTGAGGACGTTGGAGTGAACCGGGTCCGCAACGTGGGATTGCCAGTTGGCGATCGGGCCTTCTTGGGTGGCGAGCGCTTGGAAGATGCAGCCCAACCACGCGAACATGGAGAGGCGGCAGTGCTTGAGCTCCTTGATCTTGAGCTCTTCGAGGTCACCAGACTCGGCGAGGCCGAGCGGGTCGAAGCGTCCACCCGGGTTGACGTCACCGACGGTGAGGCCATCATCGAACGGAGAGTCGGAGATACCGGTACGGTACGCCTCCGCGGCGCCGACGAGAACGATCTCGATGATGAGAACGTTCCAGAAGGACGGGTAGCCGGAGCCTTCCGGGGCGAGCGGGGCAACGGCGCCCGGGAACTTGTCCGCGACGGCCGTGCAGTCATCCGGGGTGCACAAGGTACCCGCGGTGAACCACGGGATGCCGGTGCCGTTTTCGGCGGCCCAGGCGCCGGTGACGCCGAGCATCGCCCAGCGGCCGTGGATCACTTCACGCTCGGCGTTCTTTTCGGAGCCGAACGGGATGATCGGGGACTCGCCACCGCCCGGGTAGGTACCGAATTCCGGGTAGATGTCAGCCTTCACGGTCGTGGAGACGGACTTGTTCTGCGATGCGAGATAAAACCGACGAGTCAGCAACGGTCAGTCACGGGACTCGAAAAAATCTTCCGAAAAGCGATCCACACCACCGCTGGCGTGGATACGCCGAGATACGACGATGCCGCGCACCTCGCGCGCGTCGGCGCCGCCGACGACGGCGACGACCCGAACGCGCGCGCCGTGCGTCATACATAATACACCCCACCGATCCGTCGTCACCGAATCCCAATCACCCGGCCTCGCGCGCCCCGAACGCGCGCGCCGCGCATCGTATCGCGCGTCGTATCGCGATGTCCCCATCGTCGCCATCGCGCGGTGCCATCGACGCCGCATCGCGCGCGCGTCGACCGCGCGACGCACGCGTACGTACCTGGACCTTTTGCGCCTTGAAAGCGGCGACGCGGCCGACGAAAGAGGACGAGAGAAGCGCGGACATCGTGACGAGTGGTGTGCGTGGAATGACGCCCGACGGCGCGCGCGATCTCGCGTCTTCGCCCGTCGCGATCGCGATCGTGGATCCCTCGAAAGGTGGTCTCGCGCGCTTTGTGACGTCGTCGAAGCCTGTGTGGAGGTGTGATGCGTGACAAAATGTCAAACATTCGGACATTCGGAGACGCGCCCTCGGACGAGTCCCGATGCGTCGAGGTGGGAGACTCGAACGCGCGCGCGTCCAGCGCGCGAGAGCGCGGCGGGGCGGACGCGCGCGTCGTCGTGCGTCGCGCGCGTCGTCGTGCGTCGCGTTCGTGACGGTGGTATCGGCCGCGCGCGTGGACGGGGCGCGCTTTGGGGGGGATCGGTGATTTGAAATGAGCGACATCGAGCTGTCTCTGCGAGGGACGATGGTTTCTCGAGCGCCGGATGATCGCGCGGAGGAGCTGAGACGCGCGATCGCGGCGTGTCGAGCCCGTGGGTTGATGCGCGCGACGGCGTGGGCGTGCGAGCAGCTGTGTGGGATGGAGGAGGTCGGAGATGGGACGTCGACGCCGCGGGCCGCGGGACGGCGCGCGCGCGCGGACGAAGACGGTATGGACGTGGCGACGACGCCGAGCGCGTCGGTGATCGAGATCGGGGAGGATGATGATGTGTATCTGTTGGCAAAGTCGTACTTCGATCTGGGGGAGTACCGTCGGTGCGCGCACGCGCTGCGGAACGCGACAGCGCCGCTGCCGGCGTTTTTGAGAGAATACGCGACGTTTTTAGCGGGAGAGAAGAGTAAGGGGCAATCGTGCGCTTTCGGAGGGGCGAACGTAGACGGTGGAGGCGATGGGGTCGATTCGACGCAGACGCCGTCGATCGGGGCTCGTAAGATTGGACCGGATCCGAGCGCGGGGACGAACGTCGAGCTCGAGTCGCTCAACGAGTGGCTTCAGGCACAAGACGCCTCAGGCTCCAAGGATGGGTTCCTGACCTTCCTTCACGGCATTGTGTGTCGAGAGAGCGGCCAGCACGGTCACGCCAAGGCTCTGCTCGCGGAGGCGTGTCGAAAATATCCACTGAATTGGAGCGCGTGGCAGGCGCTGATTCCGCTGCTGACGAGCGAGGGAGAGGAGCAAGCCCTTGACCTTCCTCGCGAGCACTGGGTCTATCGCTGGTTCATCGGCGTCTTTCAGCTCGAGATGCAGAAGAATAAGGAGAGTTTGGAAACATTTGTCGCCATGGGAAGAGAGTTTCCTCAAAGTAAATTGCTGCTGGGGCACATGGCGGAGGCGCACTACAACTTGCGCGAATTCGATGAGGCGCAGGAAATTTACAAGGACATTCGAGACATCGACCCGTATCGTATCGATGGGATGGATAACTACTCCAACGTGCTGTACGTGAAAGACTCTTTCGCGGAGTTGTCGCATCTCGCGCATCATATGGTGGGTACGGATAAGTACACACCGGAGACGTGCTGCGTCATCGGCAACTACTATTCGCTCAAGTCAATGCACGCCAAGGCAGTGGTGTACTTCAAACGCGCACTGAAACTTAACCCGCGATATCTCAGTGCGTGGACGCTCATGGGCCACGAGTATGTGGAGATGAAGAATCCGGCAGCGGCGATCGACGCGTACAGGCACGCGGTGGACATCAATCCCCGAGACTATCGAGCGTGGTACGGCCTCGGGCAGACGTATGAAATCTTACAAATGCCCTACTATGCGCTGTACTACTACCAGCAGGCGGTGAAGCTTCGACCGAGCGATCCAAGAATGTGGTGTGCCATGGGACAGTGCTACGAGTCCGACCAGCTCAGGATGTTTACGTCGGCCATTCGATGCTACCAACGCGCCGTCGCAAACGACGAGCGTGAGGGCATTGCTCTGTCCAAACTCGCCACCCTTCACCGTGAAAAGAACGAAAAGGCCGCGGCACACTATTATCTCCTCAATCTCAAGCGATTGGATGAAGAAAGTTCAGGGTCCGTGGACAGTAATGAGAAGATTGACGCCCTGGAATTCTTGGCGCAGTTCTACAAGAAGGAGGGTCGGTACGATGAAGCCGAGCAGGCGTGCGTCCGCTTATTGGATGCTCCGGGTGCGGCAAAACACGCTGCCAAGGCGCTTTTGCGAGAAATTCATTCTCAGCGGTTCTAGCAGAACAGATCACAATAGCAACATTAATTAGCAACTAATCGCCCGGACACGAACTCTTCTCTAAGATCGGCAAGGAGAGTGCCCAATAAGTTTTGTCCACTCCCGTCTCGGCCGGTGCCCCAAATCATGTCTACCGGCGAGTCCTCGATCAGACGCACGCGACCGTCGTTACAGACGGACTGCAAAAGTAAGTTACGCGGACCCTCGTGGCGGATGAACTTTCTCACTAGCGCGCGGTGCATGACCTCCAGCTTGACGTCCTCCCAGTCCTTGCGAATGCTCTCGGGATTCGTCACCTGCGCGCTGCGACCGATCTTGGCGGCAGCCTCCGGTGAGGGTGCGATCTTGATCTTTTCGTATGTGTCACGTGCGACCTCCATATCGACGCCGGCGAACTTTTGCGCCTGGTAATAGTGCTCGACTGTCGGCCATTCGATGTCATCGATGCGCACCGGAAACGGCGAAAAATTACTCAGAGCGCCGTGTTCGTCCCAAGCCTTGTAGAACTTGATCGGAGGAAGCTCGTCTTGCGCACAGACCTCATCTTCTTGAGCGAGTGACGCCACAACTTGCTCGAGGAGCATCAATGTACCCTCATCCGCGCGTTCTTCGTCATCTGCACTCTCGCCGACGTTAAAGTCTAAACCGCGCACGCTGTGCCCAGCGCTCGCAATTCGTCCGAGCGCCCCGGTGCTCTGCGAGTTCGGCACATATCCGCGAACTAAAATATCCCTACCGACCGTTTCTAATGTCACGCCGGCTAACGGCAACGCGTCATGCATGGCCTCGAAACCGAGGTCCCCGAGCGGCGTCGGTGCGGAGTTCCCTCCGATGAGCTTGGGCGCGACGAACGCCATGACATGGTGGAACACACCACTTTTCATCGCGGGCGCGGCGAGACCTCCACCGCACTCCCAGAAACATCTCAGAAAGCCGCGCGCGTGCATGTACTTCGCCGCCTCCAAGGGCGTAAGCTCGTTAAACTCCACTACCTCGACGCCCTTTGAGCGAAGCATTTTCTGGAACTCTGGACGCGCGCCCTTCGTCGTGCACACTATCGTCGGCGCCACGTCCCGAACTCGCCATAGTTCTGCATCTTCGGGCAAATTCAACGTGCGACTGAGCACGATACGGGCGGGTTGAAATCCAGTCTCTTCTCGACATGTCAGCCTCGGATTATCCTTTCGCACCGTCGCGCCACCGACAACGATGCAATCCGCGCGCTTGCGTTCCCTAAATACGCGCTCTCGAGCCTCGGCACCGGTGACCCAGGATGAATGGCCGTTATCGGTGGCGATTTTGCCATCCAGCGTCATCGCATACTTGTACACGCTGTACGGAAGCCCCGTGGCGACGCGATACAGCAGCGCCTCATTAGTCTCCCGACATCTCGCCGCTACCTCACCCTCCAAACCGCTCGCTCGCGCATCCAGAACATCAACCACAATCCCTCGCTCGCGCATCGCCTTCACGGCGCGTCCTCTCAACCCTGGCAACGGATGAAGCATTCCGACCACTACGCGACGCACGCCCGCCGTTACGAGCGCCTCCACCGCGCGCGTCTCCCCAGCCACCTCCCCGTGCACCGGTTCGAGATTCACGCACGCCGTGCCCCCCCGAACGCCCACGCCGTCTCTCACTAACGCCTCCACGCACGCGATCTCCGCCCTGGTCGCCCCTTGACCTTCGTGTCCTCTCGCGACGCGCGTCGTCCCGTTCGCGTCCGTAATCGCGCACGCGCTCAACGGATGCGGCGCGCTCGCGCCCTCGCTGGACATCGCGAGCGCGCACATTGCGCGCACGATTTCACACTCGTCGTTCGTCACCGCGCGCGCGCTCGAGGCGACGTCGCGCGAGCGAATCACCGCGCGCGCGCTCGAGGCGGCGGCTCGACGTCTCGACGACGACGACGACGACGACGCGCTCGAGCGACGCCGCGGGACGACGCGCGCGACGCGCGAGGTCGACGCCGTGAGTTCGCGGCGCGACATCGAGGACGGGGACGGGACGCGCTCGGGTGTGCGAGCGCGCGGGCGCGACGAGACGACGTCGAGTGGACGTGGACGACTCGAAGGAAATGACGAGTGAGGACTGGTGGGAAGGGACTCCGTTTCGGCGACGGGCGCGACTGTTACCTTGTCAAACAGAACTGTCTTTACAACGAGATCTTGCAGTTGATTGACGCTGCGCATTATCTATCTTCAATCATTTGTTATTTCTCCAGCCATCGGACTCAAGCCGCGACGGCGGTCGGCACGTCGGAGGACGGCGCGACGCGCTTCTTGACAACCTTTCTGCGCTTCTTCACCACCTTTTTCTTGGTGAACTGAGGAATTGCAGAACCGGCTGTCTTGGCCATCGTGGCGTGCATGGGAAGACCCAGAGCGAACAGGCGAGTCGGTTCGCCGACTTGGTTGTTAACGACGCGACCCAATGCGGTGGCGGACACCGCCCCAGCCAATGACGTGAGGTGTTCCGTCATCCAGCGATCGGCGCCGCCAAGAAGTTGGTAGCGCAAATTGCACGAGATACCGAGGAAGGCACCCATACCAAGCGCAGAGGTCTTGAGATCTGGAACCGGAATCGACGGCTCCCACTCCTTACCTTCCTTCTTCTTGTGCATGGCCAACAAACCAGAGTTCAAGAGCGAGAACGCGCCTCCCGTAATGACACCGACGGCGGACAACTCGGCCGCCTTGGTGACGACACTCAAGCCACGAGTCGCGTTCGTGTACTGTCGCAAAGGACCGGCACGGTCGAACGCGTTGTTCGGCATCGATGCCAAGAACTTTTGGAAGCCGTTTGTCGCGGAAGAACCAAACGATCGCACCGGCGTCATGCACCAGACTGTCAACGCGTTCGCAACGGAGAGTTGCATGATGTTGCTCAGGGCGAGGTCCCATTCAGCCTTCAGGCGATCACCGCGGTGGGCGACTTCGTACATCGTCGCCGCGCTGATAGTGACTACTTGTTCGAACGCAAGTTTGTACAGGAACGCAGGGTCAGCCATGAGGCGGCCGACGAAACCACGGGAGAACGCCTGAGGTGTGCTCCGAGATACGGCTCGCACAACGCTCGGGCGGACGTTGACAGTCATGAAACGCACGAGGGCGAGAGAAGACACGATGCCCATCTCTACCGCCATGCGAATACCCCCTGGCAGCGATTCCATCGTCTTGAACCACTCAGACAAAACCGCCTGAATAGCCTTTCTGTCAAACGTCTCCCCAATCGCGGCTCGCGTGCTAAAAAATCCTTCCTCTCCGTCGTCATCGTCACCTTCCTCAAAGTAATCATCGTCGTCGCCCTCATCACCGTCACCGCCACCGCCACCGTTGTTGATCTTGCCACCATTACCACCACCACCACCGCCGTCCGCGATCTTCGGCGCCGCCACTGACACCTGCTGCTGCATGCTCAAGCCGGATTTCTCCAGCGTTGCCGAGCCGCCACCCCCAAGCTGTCGACCGATCTTCGCCATCGCTGTCGTCGGCACGCGCATGGCGCCGTCAAACGATCGCTCATCCGCCACACTCTCCTGTGAAATCGTCAAAAAAACGGTTCAACGTCAGTCCTCGCCAGTCTATCACCAGAATCTGACTGCGCGGAGCAAGTCGAATCGCCTAGGTTCCACGTTCCCCCTCGCGTCACCACGTTTTCGCCCTCGTAAGCGTTACGCGAGCGTTCGACCCACCCCCTGAGCACCTCGATCGAACGTCACAAACTCTTTTCACTCAATCAAGCCGCGATCGCGTCACGAATCGATAAACCTACCTCACCGCGGGCGAATCCCATCGCCCCATCGCACGCCGCCGAGACCTTCACGCATCGTCCTCTTCGCGGAAGGATCACCGCGGTGTTCCTTCGTCCGACCCCGCGAACATCTCGAACGGACGCTTTCTGGGTGAAAGTCCTTACGCCACTCACGGTGAACATCTCTCCAGTCCTTCACGCGCTCGCGTACGCGTTCCAAAGACGTTCGGATGCCCACGCTCGCTCTCGTCCGCGCAAGCTCGTTCGGTGATGTCCCGTTGTTTGTGACTTCGCGAGACGACCTGCGGTCGAGGTCTCTCGAGTGATGGATGGAGATGAAAACGCGATTAAAACGTAGCGTGTGCGTGCCCGCGCGCGAGAACTCGTACGCCACTCGCGCGAAGCGTGCGGATAGTGCGGGACGACGTGAATGCTCGTCAGGTGCCGTGCCGCGAGGGGGTGATGACTTGTCGTGCGTCGGGAAGGATTTCGATTTTTCGTCGTCACATGGGGGGGGGGTCTTCATGAGTCGCGACTCGTCGATTGTGACGAAATCTTGGTTGGTTTTACGTGTTCGACGCTTCGAGAATGTACTTCTAGATACGTATTTACGTCTACTTCAAGGCTATGTGCATATGGCTAATCTATACTATGAAGTGCCCCGGCATCGCGTCATCCACCGAGCGATGTGACGGAGCTGTCGACTTGTCGCACTATGCCGTTGTCGCACGCCAGGTAGATTCTCAATCCACCCTGTCTTAAGATTCGCGCTATGAACATGTCGATGACGATGTTGGTGGGTAAGTTGCGCAAGATCTTCAACGCGCCGCGCCTGGAGACGACGATGGCGGTCGTTCGTGAGAAGGTGGAGTACGTGCGATGGACTCGGCGTTTCAGAGACGTCGGCGCACTCGGGTGCTTCCAAAACGGCTCGCGACAGAAATTGGGGTGTGGATCGAGTGACAAGATGTCCCATCCAGTCGGTAACGTTTGAATTAACGCCATTAGTTCCGATCGCAGTGCGTCGGGAGAGGGTGACACGACATTGGCGTCGTCCTCGAAGAGCAAGATTGAGTCATCGTAGTCGCTCCGAGAAGACCTCAGATACGTCCGATCGCGCTCGCGTGCCCGCTCGAGCGCTTCGCCGACATCGGGCCATAAATCATCGTTCGTTCTCACCAACGATTGCTCTATCGTCGAGCTGTCGACCGTCGGTTCCGAGACAAACTGCGCGAGTATTCCGAAGAGCGCCAAGTTTCCGATGCTACCCGCCCTGCGCGTGCGATCCTCCGCTCGCTCGTACAGGCGCACCTTTCTTCGATCCGCCGATTTGTGCGCGTAAAACTTCAGAGGTCTCATCATCACTCCGATCACGCGTCGCGGCGTCCACCCACGATCGCTCTCGGCGTGTTCGTACGCCTCAAACCTTTCGATGTATCCGCGCGCCTCGATCGCGCGCGCCGTGTCCTCGTCGATCACCGTCGCGTTCTTGATCACGCATCCGAACTCGGCGATCGTGGACGCAAATTCGCATATCCTCTGAGCGTTCAAAACGCGCTCGTGGGACCACGTAGCGGTGAGCACGGCGGCGTAGAGCGGCGAGCGCCAACGCAACGACCTCGACGCATCGTTAAAGACGCCCTCACTCGCGATGACGTCCGCGTACGCGTACGCGAGCGCGATGAGAACGACGAGAACGAGGAACGATGTGATTTTCGCCGCGCGCGCGCGCGTCGGTCGAAACGCGCGCGCGTGCATCACTGCGGACTTTCGGCGCAACGAGGGCTCCGTGCCGAGTCATGACTCTCGAAATCTCCCATCGGGTGTCACAGAACTCCAAGGGTCGTTCTCGCGGCACAAACATGCGCACGTGCGCTCGCGCGAACGCCGTCGTCGATCGTGCGCTCGCTCGTCGATCGCGAAAGCACTGTCGAGTCGTAAAATCGCGATCGAGCGCCGTGGCGATGAGTGCGGCACCGAGCAACTCGTATTGGTTGTTAACCTTGAACTATGTCGAAAACATGGCTGAGCGACGCGGTCCGTATCGCGAGGAGCACCTCGCGGGCGCGTCGGCGTCGCACGCGAAAGGAGAGTGCGTCATGGCAGGTGCGCTGACGGATCCGGTGGACACCGGGGTGTTCGTGTTCAAGAATTGCGACGAGAGCGTCGTCAGGGCGTTCGCGGAGAACGATGCGTACGTGAAGAACGGATTGGTCACGTCGTGGAACGTTCGTCCGTGGACCGTGGTCGTCGGGAACTGAGTTCGTGCGATGCGTGTGGTATTGTAATGACATGTGTGATGCGCTAATGATGATGCGTGACTAAAAATTGATGTTGTCGAGACCGCTCGCGTCTCCATCGAGCGCGCTCTTGATGGACAGGATGACGAATCCGAGGGTGAAGAGCAAGCCGAAGTTCACGATCGTAGTCAACAAGCGACTCTTCCGTGGAGTGAACCCGAGTTCGATCGCTTTTTTGAAGCTCTTCGCCGAGGCGAGGATGACGCGCCGGCGCTTCTCGACGTCGTCGCACGCCAGGAGCCTGAGCGCCAACGTGGGATGGGAATACAACATGACGTTCGCCAAATCGAATTCGTTCATGTCCTTGAGATCGCGCTTGGAGACGTTGTCAAGCCCGATGGCCTCCATGTAGTACGGATCTACTTTCTTCATGAGGTCGAACACTTCGTTCACCGCATCAACACTCGCCAGGTCCCCGCTCTCGGACGTCGGGGCAGTATCCTCTATGGGAACAGCGTCGACGATTATGTAAGGCTCGGTCTGCGCCACGCGAAGAATTTTAAATCGTTTCTCACCCTTGGCACAAACCGAGAGTAATCGTCCGTCCACGACGACGTCGTGGCTTTGGACGTTCATCATCGTCCCCACTCCAGCAATTTGACCATCCAATCCTCTAAACACCGCGCCAAAGGCGTTGGTGTTCACGAACTCGTCCTCCGGCAAGCGACCGAAACCCGGAACGATGTCAAACGTGCGTTCACCCGTCTCGTACGCGTCGATAATTGGTAGCGTGTTGAGATCAATCTTCTGCTTCCCGTCGAGACCGCGTAAGACGCGGCGTCCGGTGGCTTGGCGGAACTCCTCCTCATCTGTCTTGACCGCTTGCACGGCCGACGTAGACGCCGCCGTCGCCGCTTCATCCCCTGGAGTAGGTGGAATGAGTTTCGAGAACAGCGTCAACCACCTCGGCTCGAACAGATTTAATCGAACGTACGATCCAGGGGTGGCGACAAACGGGTACGGGATACAGGGCACCTGGAACTCTCCCGGCAACCGCACGATTTCATCCGCCTTCCCTTCCGAACCGTCGGCGTTTTTCGGCGCCAAACTCACGCTCCCATCCTCATCCTCTTCTTCCAACACGAACCGCTCGCCGGTGACCTTGTCGAACATCTCCACCGGGAGCTTGAACCAGTTCGGCTCCGCGCCCAAGTCCTCGCCGCCCGGCGTCTTGTCCCGCAGCGTCTGGAAATCCAGCATCCCGAGCGGCACGTCCAGAAACACCGCCTGCAACCGCTGAATACGATCCGTCGCCTTATTCGCCCTCGTGAACGCCTTTTTCCGCGTCTCTCGAAGCTCGCGGTCGGCTTTATCGCGCGAGAGCTCCGTCGCCCGCCGCGCGTCCGCCTCCAGCTCCTTCTCCCGCTCCGCCCTCTCGCGCTCATCGTCCCCTAACAGCGCGCTCAGGGCGTTAATGGAGTCCTCCGCCTTGATCGTCCGCTTCGTCGCCGTCAACGCCCCCCCCTTTGCGCGCGCGGCGCCGTCATCGTCGTTTTCTCGCGCGTCTCGTGACGTCGACACATCCTCCGTCGACCGATTTCTCCGAAACGCGTCCCACATCGCGCGCGCGCGCGCGCTCTGACCCCGCGCGTGATCCCCCGAGCGCGCGCGCGGACGCGCGCGCGCGAGCGCGGGGCGGGGCGGCGCGCTCGACATCGCGTCCTCGCGCGTGGACGAATGACGACCGGGACGACCGACGCCTCGGCATCGCTCGACGCGCGCGCTCGACATGGGACGCGTGAAGCGGTACTTCATCGACCGAGGGCTCGGACCGGAAGATTTGATCCCGGCGTTCGTGTGCGCGCGAGATCGAGCGCGCGTCGCGTTCGTGTGCGCGCGAAAGATGGGTCGATGATGAACGTGGATAGAATAGAATGACTGACGACGACCGACGCGCGTAGTTTTCACGAGACGATATCGATCGCGTTCGCGGCGTCGACGTGGATCGCGGCGTACGCGATCGAGCCGACGAGAACGGTGTTGCGACCGTTACGGGGGACGAAGGCGGCGAAGGCGATGGCGAAACCGTTCGGCGCGGCGCTGGAGTTGGCGACGAAGCAGACGGCGAAGGCGGTGACGAGGATACCGGCGCTGAAAAGGGCGAGCGCGGAGCGGTTGACGGTGAGTTTGGCGGAATCGTTAATGTTCAGAGGGTCCATTAAGCCCATCACGTTCGGGGGGAAACTGTGGCTGTCGTACGAATTCGTGAAGTGGTTAAAGCGAGACGCCGTCGCCGCGGCCGAGGTGAATAAGGGAAAGAGCGGTAAGGGAGGGAAGAGTGGCGGGAGAAACACGCTCGCGAGTGTGAGCTTGGAGTTGGCAAAGTCACAAAGGTATCAGCTACAAAACAGTTAAGTTAAGCGCCATTCTTGAAGATTCGGAAAGTATCTATCGCGGCGGACGCCGTCTCCGACTTGAGACTTCCACTCCGTACGTCCTCGAGTTCCTCTTGTAAAACCTGCATAGCTAAATTATTCCACGTATCCCCCGCCGCATGCTGCGCTCCCTCCGGCACGAAGTCGAACGCCATGCGGAACAATACGCGCGTGACTCCGGGCTTTGCTGGCAGGCACACGTGAAGCTGCTCCACAAGCATGGGCTTCCCACCACCGGCACCCCCGAGCTTTGGTCTGAGCTCTATCGTACTCGCGATCACGCACGAGGGCTTGAACACCACGCTCTGCGGCATCGGCTCGTAGCCGATTCGCAGGACTTTCGAGATGAGCTTTGTCGCGTCTGCCTTTTCGTACGGAGTGCGCTGTCTATTCTTCACCGACACGGGCACGCGTCGTGCGCGCTCCGTGATGTCCAACAATCTCTCGAGCACGATGTTACTATCAACCTTAACGTCGGCGGTGACCTCGGCCATGGTGACGAAGCCATCGCGCGGAGTGAACATTCCCGCCTCTTCCCCGGCTTCGTACACGTCCTCGTCCCACGACTCCCCCGCGTTCGCCGATCCCGCCCCGATGAAATCCTCCGGATCGCTCTCGCCCGCCCACACGAATATCATACCATCTCGTTCGATCACCCTGAGCGAATCCGAGTACACATTCTTCAAAAATCGACACGACGGCATCTTCACGCACTCTCCGCTCGTCTCGTACTCCCACCCGTGATACGGACACTGAATCCGTCCATCCACCACCTTTCCGAGCGACAACGGGCACGCTCTATGACAACACTCATCCTTCACGCACCCCACGTCGCCGGATTTCCCTCGAAACAGCACCCACGGCACGTCAAACAGGTCGAACGGGACGCTCGCGCCCTTATCGAACCGCAGCGCGGACGAGAAGCACACCGGGAACCAATAATCCCGCTCGTCCCGCCGAGCGCGCACCGCGCCCGTCCCTCGATGGACGTCGGCGTCGTTCGACGCGTCGACGCGCCCGCGCGCCCGCGCGCGCGCACCGCGTCGTCCTCGATGCGATCGCCCTCGCGCGCGGTCACCCATCGCGCGCACGCGTCGCCCGCGCGCGCCACCGCGCGACGCCGCGCGCGCGCTCGACGACGACGACATCGCGGTCGACGCCCTCGTTCGCGCGCGCGCGCCCGGGACGCGCGCGCGCCGTCACCGGGTGCCGGGACGCGGACGACGGTCTGGATAAGAGGGTCGTTAGAAAACCACGCGCGCGTGAATCTCTCCCATTGAACACGTTTTTACCCCATGAACGACGACGACGTGGGCCCTAGGGTTCACGAACGACGCGGTCGATGGACGCGACGACGTCGATCGTGGACGTCGATCGTCGCGCACACCGCGCGCGCGAACGACATGCGCGCGCGAACGATCGCGCCGCGGGTTCGGTCGACGCCCGAGGCGTCGAAGCGTCGACCGTCGGTCGCGCGCGCGTGCGCGGGGGACGGGCGGGCGAACGCGCGGGGAGAAACGATGGCGTCGGTCGCGCTCGCGCTCGCCGTGACGCTCTCGAGCGCGTGGCCGGACGCCGCGCACGCGCGATTGAACGCGAACGAACTGAACCGGATGAAGAGTGGGCAGAACGACGCGTACGCGGAGATGATGCGACAGATGGAGGCGGAGAAGGCGAAGGATGGGAACGGCGGGGGGTCGCTGAGCGCGGAGTCGTTGTTCAAGCAAGGCGGCGGCGCGTGCGGCGACGGGTACGAGTTGCGGGTGCAGAAGGTCCTGGGAGCGTCGTGCGTGTGCGTGAGCGACACGTGTAATCGCGAGGAAGCGCGGTCGGAGTACGAGCGGTCGTTTGGGAAACAAACGGAGGAGGAGCGGGGAGACGGCGGAGGAGGTATCAAGTTTACGTTTGCCACAGATTAGCGCGTTCATTCGTTCGTTTATTTTTGTGATGATGACGATCATAACATAAGTCGATTTCACTATCATTTCACCGCGCTCGAGAGCGCGGATAGCACTTGTTGTACGCTCGCGCTGGGAACGGACGCGTAGTCGCCGTGGGCAAGCTTGGAGCCGACGACGGGTTCGACCGCAGACGCAACGCC